TGCACAGGAACTCACATCTTTGCCAGTATATGATGCATCAGTGGACGTCTGGGGTTGGCTGAAGGAAGGTACATGTTCCCGGTCACTAGCCTGGGCCACTAAAATGATCTTGGTGACGTCACCCAGGACGGACTCAGAGATGCTGTTCTCTGGGAAGAGAGGAGTTGAAACAGATCTTGACAGCAGAGCTGTGCTCACTAGGCCGTCCACGCTTCATGTTTTACACAGGGCTTTAGGGAAGTGAAATGGATCTGGCCAAGTGAGGCCTGCCTGCTGTGCACCCACCTCAGTCCTGGGCTCTGAGGCAGACCGACTGGCTCCCACACTCAGGGCACACAGTTTGGGCACTTGAATGGTCCTTTGGAGGCATCCCATCAGTTCTCAGGATGAAGTCTGGCTGCTTCCACCCCCATGGCCCTCCCCCCAACTGTGCTGGCCTCAGAAAGTTTCCTTATTTGGGGAAGAATGCAGCCCACCCCCTACCCGACCCCTCACCGTGCTCTCACCCAGGCTGGTGCTCGCTCTGCCCATCAGAGTCTGGGAAGCCATCCCCCTTCAGTTATGTCCCTTCTGAGATGGATTTGCTTCCATTAAATTCTAGGTGAGGATGCATCGTCGGATGCGCTGGGTAAGGGAACCAAAATAAATAGTTTCTTCTGTAAGGTTTTCTGTTTATCTGCTGGGGCTGGGCTGTGTGTAGTTTGCTACAGCTATTGGTGTGAGAGGCTAAAGCCGCCTGTGTGTCCTTGTTTTCATCTCCCCGCTGTCTTTTGGTTTTCCCTAGACACTTCTGAGACATTTACTTCTTTTAGTTTTATTCCTGTTACTACACAGAGGCCCTACTGCCATGGAGGTAAGGCGTTGGGGGAGCGGGACAGAGCAGGGCATCTGTAGTCCTGTGATTAGTTCTCATTCAGCCTGTGCCCTGAGCTGTGTCCTCCACAAGTGTGTCTTTTTCCCCCCACCCCAATTTGGGTGACACAGAAGGGATTTCCTTTCCCCAAAGTTAGTTAGGCTCTGGTAAAATAATTTCTCATTAAAAAAAAACCCAATGGAACAGAATGTTCTGGGTGTATTTCAATAGACTTATTTTCTCCTTTCCTGGTAGGAAGCATGAGGGGTTTTTCTCTGATCCATGGTCCTGGAGGTATAATGCATGAAAAAGAGCTGGGGTCCCCTCTGATTGGCCCCCTGGAGTTGTCACACTCAGACTTCCCCACGCTGAACCTCCGCTGGTCTCAGGGAGCTTTGAAACCTGCCTGCCCCAGTGGTTCTTACAGCGGTGGGTTCTGCCATGGGAGCTGTGACTCTCCAAGCCTGCCCGGCTGCCTCTCTGGGTTGGGAGCAGCTTTCCCCCTGTTTTCTTGTGGATCTAAGAAGAGCAGTGGGTTTTCAGCTCCCTCAGCTCTGATATTTTAAGGACAGAAGGAGCAACTTCTGAGCTCCTCACAAGCTGGACCAGATGCTGGAAGCCTCTCCTCCTCTGCCTTCATGCAATCAGTGGCTGTGGTTCTAGCCAAGTTTCTGAAGATGTGGATTTAAACACACACATCTCAGCCCCTACAGGAGCACACAGTCCCATAAATCTCTACAACTTCCACTGGTAACTATGGAGCCGATGGGGACACGGGTTTCGGGGCCACAGAGGCCTGACTGCACGACTTGCTCCATGGCCTATTAACGTGGTTGCTCTGGGCCTTGTCTGAAGTGGCTTGGTTACCGCACCTGGTACGTGGGAAACACAAAATAAGTACTAGAACCTTCACTTTTGCTCCCTCTAGTGCCTTCAAACATAAAAAGTAATAGGTGAACTCAGACGGCTTAGTCATCACAATGAGGTCCGACCAGCCTGGCTCTCCTGAGTGATGGGCACTGACTTGCACCTTAACTCGAAACAGTAGGGGAACCGCCTTCCTCTAACTGGGCCTCTACCCACACCGGGCATGCCCTCAGCTGAGACGGGGCCAGCTCCCCCATTGAGGTGTGTGCTGGTGGCTTTAGTTTGACCTGGCCCTGCCGGGACATGAACCTGCAGTGAGTGAGGTGGAGGGTCAGGAGGAGGGGGTCCCTGCTGGGGCAGCAGGGGGCCCGGTAGCACCCCGCCCGGCCTGGTGCCTGGGGCTCCCCAACATCTCCTACGGCCCCCGGGTCGGCTCTGGTCCGGGCCACTCCATGCACTCTCTCAGTATCTTTTCATTAAGTCCCTTTCCTGCTTTTATCAGCCAGATGTGGCTTCTGTTGCTTGTTCAGTGAAACAGTGCATCGGGAAACCAGACTATTTCTAACATCAGTAAAATACCAACCTCGGTCAGCTCGCCGGGCAGACCGTGCAGCACAAAGTCCTGCACAGGTCTGCGCAAGTGGCTTACTTGAAGTGTCCTCATCATCTGTCTTCAGAGATACAGAAGCTGGTGGTTCAGGTAAAACCTCAGGGAGGGATTGAGGAATCCAAAGCTGGTTGGTTTCAAGGACTAACCGGTCGGACCAGACCCCTGAGATGTGGTCAGAAGCCTTTCTCAATGTTATGCAGACTCAGCGCCCCAAGTGCCCGATGGGGGGGGGCGGTGCTGTTCCCTTTGCAGGCTCTCGTTGGGGAGTCACTGTAGCCCCTTACACGCAGCAGGGAATCCAGCCCTCTTAGCCCCCACCCTGAGTGTTCCATGACACAAATCCTGGGAGTGTTTAATTTTCATCTTTGTTTAAGAGGATCAAGGTGGGGCAAGAGGAGACATAAGTTTATACTGACTGACACAAGGTCACAGCCAGTACCTCCTCCACGGAGAGCTATGTGCTCCCACAGTGGTGGATGGGGGGCTGGGCGGAGCCCCTCCGCTGGTCCCAGAGGGACTCGCTCCTCTGGCTGCAAATGATGATTTGGACAACCAATCCAGAGGGGACAGAGCATCTTTCCCGGGAATTTGGAACTGACACACAGAAATCAAGTTCACTCATCTGGGGATTGGGAGGAGGGTGAGAATCAAATGAAACCAGAGCAGGAGAGAAAGTTACAAGTGAATGAGAGAGAGACAGAGAGACTGATCTATTGAGAGCAAATAGTGCGAAGGAAGGAAAACAATCAGGGGACAGAGGAATTCCTGCTCCTGATCCTCTAGTCTTTCCCAGCCCATCAAAGACCCTGCGTGATGGTTAACATCATTCCAGTTTTGCAGATTAGGAAACAGGCTGAACAAAATGGGGGTTGGCTTAGGGTGCACAGTTAATTTAAGTACCACTAGACCCCTCACTTCCCACTGCCTAAAGGCACCATGATCCTCACAGTGACCCTGCTGTGCTGACAGCCCTGCACCCTGATCAAAGGGCCCCTGCGGGAGTGGGAACCTCTCTGAGTGTGGAGAGTTCCCTGCACCGAGATGCCATGCATCAGCAGGCTCCCGCTCACTCCATGTTAATGTCTCCCCAGCTGTGCAGTCTCCAGTCCCGCTTCCCTCGCTGCCAGGCACCCCCATCTTTACCACCGAGTGTACAGCATGAATTCAGGCACAGGGATGCCAAAGGCAACACGAGCCCACCGGCTGCACAAACAGCAGACGCCGAGCCCCACCTGGGCTCCATGGGGATAGTAGGTGTCCTCACCTTTCATGTATCTAAGGCATTCTGCTTCTTCAGCTGAAGGCTACAGAGAAAAATAAAAGGCTCAAAACATAGTTCAGTGAGGAATTCCTCCAAGAAACTGACTCCAGAGTCTTCAACCAGGTGTGCTGGCCACTCCTACCCCCGTACTTGGGGAGAAGGTTGATTATTGATCAGCACAGCCCCCGGTGGCCCAGCTCCTCGGCTTTGCTTCCCAGAGGGGCCTGGGGGTAATGGGTAAGGGCAGGGCATTCAGGAAGAGCACAGAGGCCCTGCCCTCACCCCTCCACACTTGTAAACCCTTCCCCAAATCTCAAGGCATCAGACAGAGAGCCGCCACAACAATAAGGAGATGCTCCCATCACTTCACTCACTCCTGTCGGTTCACTTACGTGCTTAGCATCCACTGGGTCACGGGACATGACACACCTGATGGCCGATGGGACAGTCTTGGTCCTTTCCCCTGGACCAGGTTCAATCTGATGGAAGAATGATCACTCATAAACGGTTTCTCAAAAGGATACAGAGACCAAAGACAAACTGCAGAGTGAATCAAATTTTAAAATATATATGAAGATCCCCTTGTCTCCCTGCCTAAGGTTAACAGCATGAAGCAAAAAATCTTGCCTTTGATCACCAAAGAAATGGTCACCCCCTCTCAGGAGGAAAAGAGAGGTTAATCTTTGAGCAGAACACAGAAGTGCTCCATCGGATTGGACCAGGACCTCTGCATTCATTCAGCAAATCTGTATAAGCTCCTACTACGTACGGGAATCTAGCAACTGGACCCGTTCCCAAGGCTCTTTGGCTTTATTAGTCAACAAAATAGACACGACTCCCCATCACTGGGGGCTCAGAGTTTTAGCAGAGCAAACAGGCAGCATGTTGGGGGTAGCAAGAGCTTGGGGAAAAAGAGTGATAAGAGCAACCTCGGGTTATGTCGGGGAGGTGGGAGGCAGGCAGGAGGGAATAAGGCAATTCTGGCACATCTCTCGGAGTAATGAACTTGAAGCATAACAGATCCGGAGGAAGAAGGAAGAGCCAGAGCCTGAGGCCCCCAGAGTGAGGGGGAGAGTGTGGGTGGAAAGGCAGAGCACTGCTGGTCTTGAGGCCTTTGTGACGACTTTGGCTCCAAATGAATTGGTGACCTATTTAGTGAGTTTTGAGGAGAGGGGTGATGTAGTCCAACTTATGCTTTTGCTTTGTTTTTTTGGAGGATAGGGCAATTTATTTATTTTAATGAAGATGCTGGGGATTGAACCCAGGACCTCATGCATGCTAAGCATGCTCTCTACCACTGAGCTACACCCACCCCTTCAATGTATGCTTTTAAAGGCTCCCTCTGACTTTGTGTGAATGAGAGACTGTAGGAGAGCAAAGATGGAAGCAGGAGGCTTTTTGGTGTACAAGAAGGAGCTGAAGGTGTCTCCTAGTAGGGCAGAGAGCTGGGAGCAGGTGGTTAATGAAGACAGAGTATCCAGAATTTTCTAAGAAGCTGGGTTTGCTGTCT